ATAGTTTTACCTAGGTTGAGGAAATTTCTCTCTACTCTTATTTTGTTGAGTGTTTTAATCAAGAATGTTGTTGGATTTTCTCAAAGGCCTTTTCTGCATGAAATTATAGGATCATCTGGTTTTTCTTCTTTGCTTTATTAATGTGATTAATTAACTAATTGTCTTTCTTTTTTTTTCTAATTGTCTTTCTTATGTTGAACCATCCTTGTGTATCTGTGATGAATCCCATTTAGTCATGATGATTTTTTTTTTCATATACTGTTGAATTCTATTGGCTTGGATTTTGTCAAGGGGTTTTGTATCTATGTTCAGTAGTGATGTAGGTCTATAGCTTTCTTGCTTGGTGATTGCATGGTTGGTTTTTTTCAATAAATTTTTATTTTATATTGGTTTGCTTACAAAGTTCATATACATTGTTTTTCACCCTGGATTTTACCTGTTTCCTTTACTCACTCCTCCCTCTACTCATCAAATTATGCAAACATGTTATTACCCTCCTGCCCATCCTCATCCTTTTGCTCCTACCTTCCCCTTCTCCTTGGATCCTCATACTCGTTTTACTAGTTATCTTTCTATTTCTACAATAATGGTTTTATGCAGTATTTGTCCTCATGGGACTGAGTTCATTCACTTAGCATAATGCACTCCAGTCCCTCCCAAGTTATGTAGTAATTTTTGAAAGTATTGCTCCTGCATTCTGTGTAGTATTCCATCATGTGAATATACCACAATTTCTCAATCCGTTCAATTGTGGTTGAACATTTAGGCTGTTTCCATGTTCATGCAACGGCGAATAACATTGCTATGAACATTAATGTATAAATCTCCATTTGTGTCTCATTCCTAATTTTCTTGGGGTATATTCCAAGCAGTGGAATATCTGGATCATGTGGAATTTCTGTGTTCAGTTTTTTGAGGAAACACCAAATTGGTTTCCAGAGTGGTTTGTACCATTTTACAATCCCATCAACAATGTTTAAGAGTTCCTGTCTAAAATAAATTTAAAAAGAGAGTTTCTAACTCTCCACATGCTCTCCAACATTTATTACTTGAAATCCTGTTAAACGTTGCCTCTGCTACTGGGGTGAGAGGTATCTCATTGTGGTTTTGATTTGCATCTCTCTTATTGCCAGTGATTTTAAGCAGTTCTTCATTTGTTGATTGTCTGATTTTACTATCAGTCTTATGCGTCTTCATAGAATGAGCTAAACGTGTTCCTTCTTCTTCTATTTTTAAAAATAATTTAAGTAGAATTGATGGTAGTTTATCTCTGAATGTTTGGAGAAACTCACCCATAAAATGTTCCGGGCCAGGTCTTTTTTTGAAGGGATTTTTTTTGTTTCATTTCTTCTTTTGTGATGGGTCTGTTTAAGTGTTCCACTTCTGTCTGTGTCAATTTAGGTAAGGTGTGTATTTCTAGGAATTTGTTCATTTCCTCTGCTTTTTCAAATTTATGAAAGGATATCTTTTTTACTATTATGGAGTTTGTCTTTAAATATGCCTTTCCTAGCATGGATGACTGAAGCTTGTGAAGGAGTGAGACCATGTGAATGGAACGTGTTGGCATAGCCACAAAGGGATTAGCTATCTACCATTCCACAAGGGGATTAGGCAGTCTCAATAATATACAAGAGGACTGGTTAGTCTAGCCAATAAATTTAGCAGCCCTAGTTGCAGAGGTGGAGTTTTTTCCCCCACCAGAAGAGGAAAGAGACCTCCCCCAACCTGGTGAAATGTAGGACTTGCTTTGAAACAGCAGCAGCCATGGCCAAACTGGAGACGTGGTGTGAAATGAAACCTTGGATGGGAGAGCAAATATTGACAGGACTACCGAGAACTTTGTTGACCATTGGGAGGAAAACCCGATATTTGAAGGACCGAGGACTTTGTTAGACAATTGAGGGAGGAAGCCAGGACCGAGGACTTTGTTAGACAATTGAGGGAGGAAGCCAATATTGGCAAGACTGAAAATTTTGTTGAACAATCGTGGAGTAGGGGGAGCCAATATTGGCAAGACCGAGAACTTGGGAACACTTAGAGCTGTAAGGCTCAAGGCTGAGGTGCATGAGCACACAGTTCAGGAGCTGTCTTGATTGTATTCTATTATTAATCTAACTTATAATCTTTGACTTCCTCAATAGGGTTCTGTGTAGTCTGTGATTTTGGACCCACCAAAGCAGTAAGATTGGTGTTGAGATGAGTAGAAAGAGGTATAGGAGCAAGAGGGACATGTCTGACCTCAAGAAAATTGATTTTGTGTTACTAATGTTTTGGATGGGGACAATTTACCACTGAGAAGCTAGTAAAAGCCAGAAATGGTGCTCCCCATGTGGTCTTCGCTCTTTTTACACTTATCATTTTAATATCAGTTGGTTCAATTGTGACATCACCACTCTTCTTATTTGAGTTATTTGTATGTTTTCTTTATTTTCTTTTGTTAAATTTGCTAATGAATGCCTATTGCATTGATCCTTTTGAAGAATCAGTTTCTGGTCTAGTTGATGGTTTAAATTAGTTTTCTGTTTTATATGTTAACTGATTTCTGCTCTTACCCTTATGATTTCCTTTCTTCTGGAAGCTGTGAAAGTAGTTGTTCTATTTGCTGGAGATTTTAAGTTGTTCATTTTAGTCCTTTCTTTACTTACTTGTTTATTGCTATGAACTGCCCTTGAGTACTGCCTTGCTTATTCCCAGAGGTTTTGATACTTTCTATTTTCATTTTCATTCATTTTGAGGACACTTTTTTATTTCTTCCATGACTCAATAGTGCTCAAACAAGGTGTTAGTTAGCTTCCACCTGGGTACTTTTTATCCCTTATCCTCTTGTTATTAATTTCTAGTTTTATGGTCTGTGAAGATTCTTTATATTATTTGAATGTTTTGTCGATGTTTGCTGTGTGTCCTAGTATATGGTTGATTTTGGAGAATGTACCGGATATACTTGAGAAGAAAGTAAATTGAATTTTGGTAGGGTGAAGTACCCTGAATATGTTCATGAGGTCAAGTTTACTGTTTGTATAGTATAGTTATTCTGTACCTTTGTTGAGATTCTTTTGCTTTGACCTGTCCTTCAGTGAGAGTATTGTGTTGAAGTCTCCTACTACTATTATTGTGTTGTCTGTGTCTTTCTTCAGGTCTATTAAACTATGTTTTACATATTTTGCAACTCTATCATTGGGTGCACAGATGTTTATAAAGATATGTTCTCTTGTTGTACCTTTAATCATTAAATAGTGTCCTTCCTTATCTCTTATGGTGGTTTTCACTCTGAAGTTTATTTTATCAGAAATTAGTATTGTTACTCTTGCTTTGTTATGGATGCCATTTTCTTGGTATATTTTTTCCACCCCTTGATTTTTAGTCTTTCTTTTCATTTCTTAGATATATTTCTTGCAGGCAATACACGTAGGGCTTTGTAGGTTTTATCCATTCTGCTACTCTTTTTCTCTTAACCAGTGCATTTAAGCCATTCACAACAAGTGTGGTCATTGACAGACCAGATTTTACCATTGGCATTTTGCTGTATTCCTTTTTCAGTGGTTGCTAGTTACTTTGATTCATCTATTTTCTTTTGCTGTCTCTGTGTGAAGGACCTCCTTAAATATTTCTTAAAGAGTTAGTCTTGTTTTCACAAATACATTAAGTTCCTGCTTTTCTGCAGATAACCTAATTTCTCCTTCATATTTGATGGACAGCTTTGCTAGGTACAGGTTCTTTGGCTGTCAATTGTTTTCTTTTTTGAACTTGACTTTTACTTCCTTGATATAATGTGAGGTTCTACTTAATATATGTGAAGCAGATTCTGTTCTGTCTGTGTAGAAAGCTGCCCATTCCTTATCTTTATGACACTATTGATAAAGTTGCAGAATTTAAGCATTACACTCACTTAAGTTTTCCAACAAAAATTTCCTTGGCTGGCTGGTTGTCCCTTCACTCCCTGTTTGGGTAGCAAATTTCTCCTCTGGTTGTGTCTGGGAGGCAGGTGGATGGAATCTTTCCTCAAGTGTGGTAGGTCTGTTCCTCTGTGAGTCAGACGAAGCTTCAGTTTAAAGTCTCAATGGGGACTGGATGCCCATCAGGTTGGGTACTTTGATGTGGGAGGCCGAGGCTTGAAACATGTTCCGAAGGTTTTTCCCTCTCTACTGGTGCAAACTTCTATGCTGGACTCTGTGAGCAACTTGGTAGTGGAGGGATGGCCTCAAGTGACCCTCTCCCTCTCCCTGTTCCTCTCCCTCTTCATGTGGTCCAGGTGGGTGTTGACATTTTGTTTTATAGCATTAATTGCCATTGATTAATGTAATTAATTACAGTGTTTATTTTTTTAAGTCAACAGTTATTTATTGAGTGCCAATTACATACTAGATATTATTCCAAATACTTGGACACATCAGAGAGCAAACAGATCCCTCAAGGAATTACAGCATTTAACCAACTTCTTATTTATTTCCTTTCCCTTTACTCAATTTTTTTATTTCTTAATTTTCACAACTCTCTCCCTTCCTTTCCATACCTGTTATAAGTGTTTTCTTGTTGTTGTTATGCGCCGTCGAGTCACTAGCAACTCCTAGAGACCCTATGTACAACAGCCCTAAACCTTGCTCTGTCCTGTGCCAATCTCACTGTCTCTGATACACTTACCCCCATTACTCCAGTCACTGAATCAGTCCATCTCATCAAGGGTCTTCCTCTCTTGTGCTGTCCCTCCATGCTCCCAAACATGATGTCCCTCTCTAAGAATTGGCCTCCTTGTAGCATGTCCAAAGTATATCAGACAAATCTCCAGAATCCTTGTCTCCAAGAAGCAACATGGTTTCATCCTCTCTAGAAGGAACCTGTTTGTCCTCTTAACAGTCCATGGTATACTCAATACTCTTCTCCAGCGCCACAGTTCAAACGCATCAATACTACTGATTGCAAATCAGTCTGTCCCAAAGGCAGTGGGAGAGCCAGGAGGTCCGGACACACCAGAACTTCATAGGTAGGGTAGGGGTTGAATGTGCTTACAGGATGACGGGCTTGGTCTTCTGGGGACGGGAGTAAAATGGAGTATGCATGATGAAACTCATCAGAGATTGGAAGTGACTTGCCCAGTTGATCAGTCATCACTGATCAAAGGATCACGGGATGCGCAAAGGATCCCAGGATTCTGGGCCTCAGCAGGTCCAGGCCAGAGCTCAGTCTACCCTCACTCTTTGCCTATGAGTCCCAGGAAAGAGATGACACACATAAGGCCTTGCTAGCAGAGTACTTTATTGGATATGTTGGTGCCAGGACAAGAAAGCCTGCAGAAGGGTATGGAGGCACCCAGGTCTGTCAACAAGTACCTCCATGCCCACAGGTACTGTCATGAAGGTGCCTTCAGCGCTTTGAGAAATCACCTCCTGGTGGACAAGTGAGGGGGAAGGGATAGCAGCAGAGGCCACAAGGTCCCAGGAGGGCAAGCAGGAGCAAAGGGTGGGTAGAGTTACCAGGAGGGACTGCCAAGTACCACCCCTTGTCTGTGCTGCCACTCCCTCACTCACTCCCTCACCTGGGCAGGCACTGCAGTGGCAGCTGAGGATGGCAGGCAGCACCACTGGCTCCACTCGGCCACCTGGACAGTGCAAGCCCAGCACACGCACAGGGCTGTCAGGGTCCAACTGGTAGCTACAGCACTCGCATCGACTCTGTAGGTAGGGCTCCTGGGACAGAGCAGGTGACCAGGTAGAGGATCTCGCACTCCCTACAGCTCCACTCTGAGGAGCTTACAAGCTGACTAGAGGGACCAGGCTTGCTAGCAGATGCCTGGAACAGGTTGAGAAAGATGGAATGCAGACCAGCCTGTCCTGCATGTGTCTGGGCAGTCCATTTATGAGCTTCCATCCACCTTCTCCTGGTTTGGGGCTCTAGTCTCATAGTCTTAGCTAGCTCTGCCGGTGTCCTGCTGACTCTGCAGTGTCATGCTTATTCAGATATCCTGGGGCAGGGGTAGGAACAGACCAGCTCACCTCAGGGATGACATCCGTGCTGGATGGGCAGTGCCCCCTGCAGTAGCTCACCTCCACCTGGTCCAGGTGGCAGGGGCCCTTGGTGAGGTTGCGCTTCTCTGTGAAGTGCTGGCAGGAGGCCCCCAGCCCCTCTGTGGGGAGTAGAGTGCAGGAGAGTGAGGCGGGAGTCAGGGAGGGCAGGTGTGGGCAGGGGACATGAGGGATTTCCATATCCCTGATCCCAGGTGAGCCAGGCTGAAAGACTCCCTGGACAGGCATGGACCTGGAACAGGGCCCAGATCGGGGGGGCGGGGGAGGACAGGTAGAGGTGTTTCAGGGTTTCCATACCCAGTGTCGGCTGCTGGCAGGTGGGGCAGCAGGTCCCTGGCTCTTGAGTATTCAATTCATTCTGCAAGAACAGGACACCCCTCTCAGGAGAGCCCCACACCCCAGCACAGGGAAGCCAGGAAAGGACTTGAGCCACATGGGAAGGATAGTACAGGTGAAGGTGATACCTGGCCACAGGTGTGCAAGGGACAGTGCTGGGAGCAGACATTCCTCCCTGAGAGGCAGCGGCAGCTCTCACAACCCTCCTGCCACTCAGATGCAGGCTAGGGAGGCAAGGGACAGGCTTCAATGCAGCACGCATCTGCTGTTCTACAGCGGCATCATATTCCCGGAGTCAACCCAGGGGCCTTGTCAGGGACATGGCCAGGGCTGCAGGAGCCTCGAAGGGATGGACCAGTGGTGCGAGGGTAAGCAATACAGCCTGGGCCTGAGGACTACCTGGGGAGATGATAACTGGGCCTAGGGGACTTGAAGCCTGCCCAGGGTGATAACATGGCCTGAGGGACTGTCCAAGGTGAGGACTGGATTTCAGGGACTGTCCAGGGTGATGATATGGACTGAGGGACTGTCCGGGAGTATGACATGACCTGAGGAGCTGTTCAGGATGATGACTAGACCTGAAGGACTGTCACAATGCTGACGTGGCCTGAGGGACTGTCCAGGGGGATGACTGGGTCTGAGGGACTGTCCAGGGTTGTAGCCAGGCTCAGCTGCTTGCACAGTCCCAGGGATTTGGGGGCAGGTTTCAAGGGTGTGATACAAACTGAGGGAAAGAAGATCTAGGCAAGGAGTGCAGTAAGGAGATGTCTCACCTGGTGGGGGCGCCCGTGGTGCCAGCACTCACACTCATGTGGGAGGACACAGGTCCCCTCCTGGCTGCGGAAATGTCCTTGCTGACACACACAACCCGCCCGCACCATACTGCAGCTGCTCCTCAGAGTGTCTGTGCCATTCACCTCCCGGCAAGTGGGTTCGCAGAGCCTAGGCCCCCCGGGGGCCACCACCTGCCACACTTCCCCTGGAGGGCATGCTATAAAGAAGACCCCACAAGAGGTCAGACTAAGTTCCAGGCCTGACCTCCCTCTGTGTGGTCCCTGTCTCCACCTTCTTCTCAGGCAGCCCTGACCATCACCCAAGTTCTCCTGACATCTGTCCAGGGTTGCCTGACCAGTCTATCTACTTGCCCTTGGAGGGCCTAGCAGGGCAGTCAGAGAGCAGGGCTCACAGTTCTGATAGGGCCAGCTGGAGTGGGGGTGAAGGAGCAGCACCTATCCCTGACACTCACCAGGGCAGGGCCAAAGGTTACAGTCTCGTCGCTGCTCTGTGTCCTGGGCCAGGCACGATAGTCCCAAAGTGCTCCCTTGGCAGCTCCGGTGCCGCTCAGAGGTCCCCCCACCACAGGGGGAGGAGCAGTTGCTCCAGACTGACCAAGGGCCAAGAATAGGACACTCCTGGAGTGGGCAGGTCAGGGACCCGTTGACACAGGTGCTAGAACCAAGTAGAGGCAAAGATGGGCTCCGAGGTGGTGAGGATGTCCATATTCTGCTCCTCATACCTACAACCTAAGACCTGTCTCTATTCCTGCCCACAAGTGGACCCATCCCCCATCCATGTGTCCCTACACACAAATGGACCTGCCCCACCCATGAGTGGACCCATCCTCCACTGGTGTGCCCTGCCCACCAATGCCTTCTGTCCTCTTTCCTTGCCCCAGCTTCATTCTCGTTTCTTTTAGCCCTTTGGCCCTGGGCCCTGTTCAGCACCAGCAATCCAGTACCAGTTTTGGCAGTCCAGCTGCCAGATCTCAGCTGGGGACAGCTCCCGAGAGGCATTGTGGCCAGGAAGGCTGCAGCGGCAAGAAGAGATGGGCACACAGTGTCCATCCTGGAGCAGCTGTCCTGTGGGGCAGCGGCAGCCTGGGAGTGAAAGAATGGAGAGGCTGGGCTCAGGGGACACCCTCACAGGTTCCAGCATCATCCACCATGGGAAGAACTCAGCCAAAGATCATGTCTCCCTGGGGGGGGGGGTCCCTGTGTAGGCCACATGCACATAGGCACGTAGGGCTGGGTGGTGCTGAGAGTGACCTGACATCTCAGCAACCCTCATGCTACTAGTTTTTTCCCCTTCCTCGTCTAGGCCCTAAGACCTTCCCAGGAGGAGCCCCATGACCACCCCCAGGGCTGAGGTGGAGCCCACCTGGGCGACAGGGCCCCTGCAGGCACTGTACTTGGTCCCAGAGGTCAGCACAGGCCCGTGGGCAGTGGTTGGCACAGCCCAGGCTGAACTCGGCACCATGTGTCGCACAGCTTACCCCTGGGGAGGAAGGAAGGTCTGTAGGGTTCTCCTGGCAGACAGGCCAGTGCAGCACCCAAAAGCCATCTCTTCAAGACGGAAATGGTACCTGCACAGGGAGCCAGGTTGCACCCCTCGGTCTGAGCCCAAGGCCCCCGGCAGCCTTCTCCAGGGGTGCTCCCTGCATCTCTCCAGCGTAGACGGAAACCCCCACCACATGGCAGCTGACAGGGGCTCCAGGCTCCCCAAGGACTCCACTGACATGGGTCTGAGAGAAACAAAATGGAAGTCAGCATCCAGGGACCACCATCCCCACCTCCCTGAGACCACCCTCAGGTAGCCCTGGATTCAAACAACTTGTGGTCATTAGACACAACCTGGGCCCTTACCCCAGCAGGCCTGAGGGTCAGGGCAGAGACGCTGCTGGCTGAGGGGTGCAGTGCACAGCTGAGGATCGCCAGCCCAGTGTCGCCCTGTCTCAGGATCCAGACAGAGGCGGTACCGGTGCTGCTCTGAAGCCAACTGGGGGGCTAAAGTGGGGTCCTGGGCCCAGTACCCCTGAAGGGCAGTTCTTGAGGCAGGGGCCAGGGCACTGGGAGGCAGGCAGGGCCCACAGGGCGTCCACTCAGACCAGCCACTCAGTGGCAGAAGACCTAGAAGGACCATTGTGTTGTGTATGTGCAGAGACCCTCTCCATCCGGGCAAAACGGAGAGTCCAGTCAATGCTGTTCCCAGGCACCCTCTGACCAAAGTTACCTCGACAGCCCTCAACGACACATTGGAGCTCCCCACGCTGGCACTCACTGTGGGAGGGACATGGGTGGGATGGGGCAGTGATGGACTGGGGCCAGGCAGAGCCCCAGACACCCAGCCTCACAACTGCCCTTCACTCACCACTCCTTACAGCCAAGCCACAGACGGCCCCCAGGGGCCAGGGCCAGACCTGGAGCCCCTCCCGGAATGTGCACACAGCGACACTGCTCAAGGGGCACACAGGCCCCCGCCTGCTCCAGCAAACCCTGCAGAGGGAGGATGGAGGTGGGTCCCAGCATCTGCAGGGAGGCATGTGCTGCTGGGCAGGGTGAGCCAACCCCTCACCTCAGGGCAGTAGCAGCCAGACTGGCAAGGAGGCAGGTCCTGGCAGAGCTGGCCTTGCAGGCGTGTGGCACAGAGGGCAGTGCAGGGTGAGCCACAGGCCCTGAACTCAAAGGGAGGTGTGCAGCTGTCCTCTAGGGAGGAGGGAGGAATAAATAAGAGGTGGACAACCAGTTTCCTCAGGCAGAGCCCACCCAGCCCCTGCTGAGCTCCTCTAGAAACACCAGCATTGAACCACCAATCAGTGGTATGAGGAGAAGACTGGGGGACCTGAGGGCAAGGCAAGGCAGGGGGCAATATTCAGAGAGGAGGTAAGCTGCACCCACTGCCCTGGGGGAGGAGCTGAGCCTAGAGAAGTCAGGGCAAAGGTCAGGGCTTCAACCTTAGCCAAGATCCTACACAGGAAAAAGACAGGAGCTACCAGGAATTCAGAAGGCCAAGGGGGACACCTTCACACTGAAGTCAGGACAGCAAGGGCAGCAACCATGGTGGCAAGGGACAGGGAAACATTGGGCAGGATGAACAGGGAAGATAGAGGACAGAGGGCAGGTGCAAAGAGCAGAGACAAGGGAATACGGAAGACAAAAGTTAGAGGGCAGGGCAAACAGAAGGCAGAGGGCAGGTGGCAGTGGCAGTCAACTGAGGTCCATTCAGGTGGGCCTGGCATTGTGCTTAGGGCCCTCACCAGAGCAGGTGCTGAGGGGGCATGGACGGAAGTGGCTGTTGAGCTGTGTGCAGGGCACATCCTCTAGGGCCCCAGGTGCTGGCTCCTGGTGGCGGTATCTCTGCTGCACCGGAACTCTGCATGAGCACCTGGTCCAACTGCTCCAGCTGCTCCATATGCATGCCTCTGCAGTCGGGCTCAGGGTCAGCCCCTGGGTCAAGGACACCCCCACCCTGTCTCTCCTTTCCCTCCCCTACCTTCTCCACCTCTGGGTCTCTGCCCCATGCAAGGGGGGAGATGGTGCTTCACCCACCCACAGGGTGTCAACTCAAAGGAGAGGGGGTCTCACAGTATGGGCAGGTGTAGTCTGAGGCTGGGAAGGCAGGGAATCGGAGCCCTCTCCAGAGCACAGACTTGGGCAGGGCCCCTCCCCTTCTGAGCACACATCTGGGCAGGGACCCCTCCCCTCCCGAGCACACACTTGGGTAGGATCCCTTCTTGAGCACACACCTGGTCACCCCCTCCATGTGCACACCTGAGCATCACCCAGCACACACCTGGACAAGGCCTGTAGTAGCACGCACGGGTATCCAGGTGTAGGAAGGTGCCATTGCAGGTAGGGTGTGCCTCAGACAACAAACATGGGCAGACCCCAGAGCGGGAAGCCAGGCCAGGGCCACAGCTTTGGGAGCAGAGTCCCCATGGCCCCCAGGAGCAGACCTCAGGCAACCCTGGGCAGGGCTGCTGTCCGCAGGACTGGACCTCAGAGTCTGGACCTGAACAGGGCCGTCCCCCTGGGATGGAGGCAGAGGATGTGCATGCCCGAGTGCGAACTTGACTGCTACCTCCACAGGACACTGGGCAGCTGGACCACGAGGACCATGATGTCCAGGCGTCAGATGCTGTGAGAGGACAGGCCAGTGGTCAGAAGGCCCCAGGGAGCAGAGGCCAGGGGTCTAGACATGGATAGGTGAGTCCATGAGCAACAGCTCTGACCTGCACATCCTGTGTCATCACACATCACGCCTTCTGGGGTGCAGGAGCTGGAGAAGAAGACCCAGCTTAGAGGTGTGGGTAGGCTCCAAGACCCAGCTCCACCCTCCAGGCCATACCCCTCCTCACCACTGCTCACAGGACTCCTGCAGCCAGTGGTCTCCCAGGGTGCGGAGACGGCTGTTCTGTACACACAGTGGGGGGCAGGGGGACTGCACACAAGGCTGGCTCTGGGATTGCTCCTCTCGGCACTCAGGTGCCCAGGATCCCGATGTGGAGGACCTGGTGACCAGGCAGTGAGAGGCAAGGGTTCTACCTATCCCAGCAAGGGCCCAGCTTGGGGACAGGGGTTCAGAGCGGAGGAGCAGGACTCTGTGTGGGAGAGGACATGGGGTAGATGCCCTGCCAGTCACACCGGAAGCGACTCTGCTGTCCTCCAGGCCCACAGGAATGGCTGCAAGTACTCCAGGCTGACCACCCACTCCAGGCACAGTGGGCAGGCGGGGGGCAAGGCTGGGTGGTGCAGGAGAGTCGGCCTTCTTGGCATGTGCAGGTGCTACAAGCCTCTTGGCGTTTGCTGCCTGGGGCCCAGACCTGGCCCTGGGCATCTGTGCACTCACAGTGACTGATGGGTACACAGTGGCCTCCCTGCTCCAAAGACCCTGTGTGTATGGGAGGGAGAATTCAGGAGCTGGTGCCAACCAAACCCCTCCTCCCAACCCTCATCACAAGGCTTACCCTCAGGGCAGCGGCAGCCATGTTGGCAGGCCTCCTGGTCCTGGCACACAGTCCCTTCCTGAAAGTCCGAGCATTGACGAGGGCAGCGGTTGGCACAGACAACCACCTCCATTCCAGCCGGACAGCCGTCCTCTGAGCCGGTGGAGACATGTCACTGTGGCTGAACCAGGGCCCAAAGGCCCTGTCCTATGCCCTTCCCTCCTGAGGGTGCTCAGGCCAGCGGTTCCAGGGAGGGTCTAGAGACCCTGGGATGGAATATGGGGAGGGGGGGTACTTTGGGGGCGGGGCACGCAGAGAGAGGACACAGGGCAGGCGTAGGGGCCACTGTCTGGGCCCAGAAACAGCCATGCAGACTGGAGGTCTCAGCTTGGTGATCGGCCAGGGAAACCTGTGCCCATCCAGATCTATGGTGTCACGCATCTGCAAGGGGGTGGGGAGCGGTGCAAATCACTCAGAGGTACAAACCGCAGGGCATGGGGTTGCAGGGCCGAGTGTGGTGCTGTTCCCCAACACAGGGGGCACCCCCATTCTTGGGTGGGGGACTAGAGCAACTTCGGCTTCTCAGAGATCGGCCCCCACCGCAGCTTCGGTCACACAAGGACCAAGGGCTCCAACGGGACCAGCCTCCAGACACTGCCAGAGAAGGTAAAGGGGGCTGAGACGTGGCTCTGCCTCATGCGGACGTTGTTCTAGGAGCAGCTCTTAACATGGGGGCGTGGTCTTGCCTGCGGAGGCGTGGCATTGCATGGGGGCGGGGCAGTGTTGTGAGGGCGTGGTCTTGCCTGCGGGGCGTGACACTGCCTGGGGCGTGGTCAGTATTATGAGGGCGTGGTCTTGCCTTCGGAGGCGTGATACTGCCCGGGGGCGTGGCCAGTATTATGGGAGCTGGTCGGCCTGTGGAGGTGTGGCACTGCCTGGGGCGTGGCCTGTTATATGAGGACGTGGTCTTGCCTTCGGAGGCGTGGCACTGTCTGAGGCCGTGGTCCTGTCTGGGGGGTTGTGGCTGTCTGGGGGCGCGGTCCTGCCCTCAAAGGCGTGGTGTCCGAGCATGGTCAAAGGCGTGGCTCTGTCTGGTGCGTGGTCCTGCCACATGGGGACGCTGCTATGAAGTCGGGGGCTTGGCTGCTCCATCCACGGGTGACCGTGGGCGGATGCAGAGGGCCACCGGGCTCACCTGGGCAAGCACGCAGGTTACAGAAGCGGCGCTCCTGGTAGGCGGACAGAATGTCCGGGCACCAGTGCCCACCAGGCCCTGGTGGCCAGTACGCCCGCAGGCGGCGCTGCTGGCCTACTCCGCAGCTGCGAGAACACGGTTCCCAGGGACCCCAGGCCGTCCAGGAGCAGTTTCCAGCCATGCAGCCTGGACCTGGGCAGAGGAGTGGCCCTGTGGAAGGAACGGGGATGCTGCAGCCTCTCCTGCTGCCCTGTTTGTGCGCTGCCCCCTCCTCTGAATCCAGTCTGGAACTGATAGGGGCACAGAGTGTGATCTTGGCCTGTTTCCCCCTGTTTTCCACCTGTGCACGAGGGGAGGTTGCATGGCCGCTCCTGCATAGCGTCCGCTCTGGTGCAGTTGGCCCAGCAGAGGCGGGCACGGTGGCGCCAGGCAGGGCGGGTGGGGTCTGTGCAACTGCGGGAGCAGGAAGACCACGAGGACCACGGACCCCAGGCGGCTGTGGGAGTGAGGGCCCTCCTGGTGAATCAGCACAGGGCTCCCACTGCCCCAGGAGCAGCTCTGGAGTGAGGATGCAACAGGTGGGGTTGGGAGTGGGGGATGGGGTAGAAGCGAGAGGGCCCAGGTAGGCGGGACCAAGGTAGAAGAAGCTAGCCCAGAGCCTGTGGTCCAGTGCTACCTGGGATACCTGTCGTTGGCTTCACTTCAACACCTGTGTAGAAGAAAAAGCCATGCCTCAGCAATCAGTCACACTTGGGTGCCTTCGGGCCAGTGCCCTCCCTCCATTAGTCCTGCAGCAGCAAGCCTTTAAGTTTAGGTTCAAATCCCTGCTAAGAATTTGCATTTAAAACAGATTTCCAGGGAACACTGATGCTGCCTATGAGGAAACGTGTTTGGGAACTACGAGGGAGCCATGGTGGCCCTTCAGTGACTACACTGCTGACCAGAAGGTAGCACCTCTCTGACAGTTCAACTCCACCAGCTGCTCCTCAGGAGAAAAGTGGGAATCTCCTCCTGTGCTACTTACAGTCTCTGAAAGCCTTCTTGAGGGTCAGCTATAAGTAGGCTCAAATTTGATGTCAGTGAGTGAGGACAAGAGAAAAAGCCAGAGGCTAGGGGAAGATAGGGCCAGGCAGCAACAGCAAAGCCAGAATCAGGATGAGAGCCAGGTGGTCTTTGTCTAGTTTTTTTGATGGCTAGCAGACCTGCCCCTCCAGTCCCCACATGCCTCTCACCTGGACAGTCTGGGCTGGAGCAGGTTGAAAGGTCCTGCCGTGGTCCCAGGCAGTCCTGGCCTTGAAGAGAGGGACTCACACAAAGACGGCTGCGGCTGCGGGTCCCCAGCCCCCCACAGGAGACTGAGCACGGGCCCCATGCACTCCAGGCACCAAAGCTGCTGGCCGTGGGGCAGTTATCCTGGGAGCAGGTCAGTGTGCCATTTACACAAGAGCTGGGAAGAGGTCAGGAGCAGAAAGACTAATCAGTGTCCTCAAAGCCACAGCAACCCCTAACTAGTTGTACCTTAAGCCCTGACTTCACTTGTGCAGCCCAGCTCTGGTGTCTCATTAGCTGTCCCATCAGCTGTGACTCCTCTAGTCCCTCTCCACTTGCCCAACCCAGCCCCTGTGCTCCCTCACCAGTGGTTGCAACCCACATGAAGGGTCTGCCCTGAGCCCAGATCATCCCTGGGCCCCAAAGGTTGACCTTCCTCTCCCAAAAGGAGTAGCTGAGCCCCAGGGTCCGAGCTGAGGGCCCTCAGTTCCTGAAGCAGCGATGCAGTCAGCTCACAGGGGCACTCCTGTGGGGATGGTACCATCAGCCCAGACAGGCCCCAACTCGTGCTTGCCACCCCAAAGTAGGAAAAGTGAGGACTCAGAGGCAACTTGGGGCTCTCCTTGATGGTTCCAACTTGGTCTGGACACAGGGTTTGCATCCTGGTGGATTGGCCTCGGTTGGTGGCCAGTCCTCCTACACCAGGAGTCACTAGGACAGTCTGGAGTCCAAGGGACTGTACAAGGACAGCCTGGTGAGGTGTGGGATAGGAGAGAGCACCCCAGGCTCAGAAAAGTCGAGGAGAGTCCCCTAGCATTTGGAAAGGGGCTGTAGAGATGAGGAAAGGAAACCATAGCTAGCCCACTAGGGTGAGCTGCTGTCCTGCTGGTAGCGAGACTAGGGGACAGTCAGAACCACCCCAACAGGTGTTTGAGGCTAAAAAGGTCACAGGAATGGCTACATGAAACCACAGAGCAGCTGGTGGGTTAGAACCACGGACCTTTCAGCCAGCAGCCAGACACTTAAATCATTGCTTCACCAGGGCTCCGGGGAAGCCAAATACCCTTAGAGACCAGGAGTGAGCACCCCTAGTGCTAGGGAAGAAGCACTCCACAGGAGTTGGGCAGAAGAACTACTATCAGAAACCAAGAAATGGAGATGGCAGCGCACCCAGAGTTAGGAAGGGAAAGAACGCCACCTAGCACCAGACAGGAAAAATGCACCCTTAAAACAGTTCAAATCCACCCGTTGCTCTGCTGCAGAAGTGGGGGCAATCTCCTCCCACGTGATCTATTGTCGCTGAAAGCCTCTCAAGGGTCAGTTACCAGTATGTTTCGACTGGATGGTACACAACAAGAAGAAGAATGGGTACAGGAGCATGTGCCCTTAGGGGTCAGATCCCCAGTTTGCCTCTGGCCCAGCCTCTCATTGGTGCATCACCTCCCCGCCTACACATACTGTGCCTCTGAGACAAGGAGGCCGGACTGCTCAGATCAACTCTGGTCAGTTAAAGGAGCGGGAATGTGGGTGGAAGTCAGCCAGCGTCAAGAACAGAGGCAAAACCTACCTGCTGGACAGTCAAGGTAGAGCTTCCTGTAACGGTGTGGAGGCGAGGGAGGTCAGTGAAGACCCATAGCTCAGAGCACCAGAGCCAAGGGCAAGGAGGGGTGGAGGGGCCCAGGAGGAGACATGTGCATCTGGAGAGTGGTACTTTGTCCTGTGATACTCAAGGGACATAGACCTCTGCATGAAGTGGTCTGAGTGAAGGGTAAAGTGTAGACAGCTGCAAAGGTGAGGGGGCCGTGAAAGAAGGCAGAGCACAGCTCAGGGAGCTGGGGGAACAGAAGGCTGGGTGTGGGGTGATCTGACCTGCACACAGGCCAGGCGGTGCTGGAAAGTGCCCAGGGGGCAGTGACAGCCCTCTTCGCAGCCCTCAGAGTAGCAGCCTACCTTCTGTGTGATGTGGGCACAAGAGAAGGGGCAGCCCTCACCCGGCTTGCACTCCCGGTACAGACGCCCAGCCAGACACCCAGCCTCTGAGGACAGCAGCATCACCTCAGTGCCCAACTCCACACTTGAGTCATAGTCAGCACCCAGGGCCTAGCCTCTGTTCAGTGCCACCCCACAGGCCCCCCGGGCAGATGTCATCCTCCCAGGGACCCCACCTGACAGAAGGTGCTCACCTTTGCACACCTGGGTGTGGCAAGTGCGGCTCTGGCGTGCAGGCCCTGGACAAGGTGGGCGGCCACAGTGCCGGGCACGCAGCTGCTCCCCACCACCGCAGGACATACTGCAGCCCTCCCAGGGGCCCCAGGATGTCCACACTCCAGGGCCAGGGCAGCCAGGCACATCCTTGCACAGGAGGCTGCCCGCCACGCAGGTGCTAGGGACAGGGTGGAGTTCAGCAGAGCCTTCCCCACGTGCCTGGCCACCCCTCCAGCTCCAGTTCTCACCAGGTGTCACATGGCCCCATCACCACCTCTCCAGGATCCAAGTTCTCCCAGGAGCTAAACCCAGGCCCTGCCAACCTGCTGTGGTTCTCAGGGATACCTGAATGGAAGGAGAGGGTGGAATGTCAGACCGCCCAGACCCCCGCCCTTCCATATACAGCTCTCTCTATACTGGACCAGAGGGTTGGAGAATCATCCTTCTGGGCTCCCAGGAAGCGGGACAGGAAGGCAAAGGCTGGAGAGAACTGACCCATGGCTCCAGGCTGGAACTGGCAGCGGCAGAGGGAAGGTGGCACACAAAGTCCATCCTGGACCAGCTGGCCTGAGGGACACCCACAGCCAGGCTGGCAGCTGGTGGAGCCTGGCTGGCACTCACTTCCTGGGGACAGGTCCTGGCAGGATCGGGGACAGAACCGCCCACAAGGCACAAGGTTCTGGCCACCCTCACAGTCTGCAGCAGGATGGGTACAGAGAGTGCTGGCACACAGCGCCAGTGACAAGCCCTCCCACTGGGCCACTCTGTGCGGCTGAGCAAGGACAGTGGGAGCAGCCCTTCTTGGCCCCAGCTCACCTGTACATGGTGAGGCATTGTCCCGACAGGGGCGGCTCTGCCTGTGGGCACCAGCACAGGGCCTGCCTCCCTCGGGTGGAGGGGGCTGGGTGCATGTCCTGCTCCTATGGGACTGCCCCCCACACATGTCACAAGGAGACCAGGATCCCCACGGGCTCCAGGCTCCATCCTCTGTCAGAAAGAGGGTCATATACCTCAGGAGGGCCAGGAGGGATGGATACAGGGGTCAAAGCAGGCACTCGGGTCTGGGGATGGGGGATACCACACCTGGGCAGGGCTCAGCACTGGGGCAAGACTCCTGTTCTTGGTGGGCCCCTGTATCCCCAGGGCATGGGGTGCCCCCATGCTGTGGGGAGGGGCAGGCACAGGCCCGGGAGCGGGTCCTCCTCTGGCCGCGGCAGGGCAGTGAGCAAGGCGTCCATTCTGACCATGGGCACCAGCCCCCAGACACTGTTAGGGGAGCAGACGGCTCTAGGGCACAGCCACCCCTTTGTGGGCACACCCATCCCCACAGGCTAGCACCCCTTCCAGTAACAGGCCAGTCCCTCTGTACTCCCCCCTCCCCTGCAGGCTGGCACTACCTGGGCAGGGCAGGTCTGTGCAGTTGAACTTCCCCTCTAGGCAGGTGCTGGCAGGGGTGCGGACACAAGGAAACAGGCAGTAGATGAGTGACTCCAGAACCCCTCACCTGCCTCCCACATTCCCTTCTCCTTGACCCTCTTTATCTCCAGAGTCTGCTCTGTCCAGAGTTCCCTGTGTGGGCTGGACTTGCTCCCTTGCTCATCCTCTCCTGCTCAGAGGCCAGTCCTGAGGTCCCTGGCACCCTAGGTCTACCCTAGTCAAGGTCCAGAATCTCTTGCTCTCCCCAGGACCAGGAGGAGGCCAAGGAAACCTGAGGCCCACACTCACTCCAGGCTCACCAGTAGTTGCAGCCATCAGCTTGGGCCAGCCGTGCTTGGGCGTGGTGCCGCTCCCCGGTGAGCATGTTCAGGCAGCTGCAGTGGCCAGGCTGCACACAGGTGACCCCATCAGAGCTCAGCACTTGGCCTGGTGGGCAGTAACAGCCTGGCTGACAATGCCATATGCACAGCTGGAAGACAGGAATGGGTTCTGGTCAGCAGAAAACTCGTCACAGGTGGGACCTGCAAAGTCACAGAACTCACAGAAAGGCAGACAGAAGTGCACATCCCTGTGGCATGCGTCTGCTGTGCCAAGTCCCTGGGAGGAGCAGCGGTGAGCACACACCTGGGGATAACTGGTAAGCCTCAACTCCTATGTGTACACAGGCAGGGTAGAGCACCCCTCACACCCTGGAGGCAGCTGGCTTGGAAAGGGGCATGTGTATGTGAATATAACTATAAAAAGGTAAACTTCACACTCACACCCCATGCACCTCACACCACCCCAGGGCAGTGTGCACCCCTGAGGCCTGAGTGGTGTCCAAACACACGCCTGCTCTTTCACCGCTCTCAGTACTGCCTGGAGCTTTCACAGTGCTCCAAGACACCCTCTCCTCTCAATCACAGATTTGCAATGTGCCATACATGTCTCCTATCATGCTGAAATTTTCTATTTGTACAACTCCATTGTGTTCTACTTATGAGTTTCCACTAGGAGGGACCCAGTCAGGTTGCTGCCAACATATTCATGAAGCCCAAGGAGGTGCCTGGTAAAAGTCTGAGTGACGTCCACCTGCATATTCATGTGCATATGTGTGCATATACCATGCCCATATATGCTTACGCTATACACCCATGCACACTCACAAATGCATGTGTGGAAGCACACACACGGATATAAGTATGCATACACAGAGTACACTCACTCACACCACACAAGGGCACAGAGTCACATGCCTGTGCACGCACACATACACACATATATGTGCACAAACACCCATGTGACTACATCCACACATGCCTGCCCACTTAGCCTAGATGCACACACCACAAACACACAATATGTATACACACACTAAGCCCCATATATGCCCATGCTAGGCACGCACACACGTGTGCTCACATGCACTCACATGCATATCGTATATGTACAGACACACATGCAGAGTGCATACACATACGCATATATGTGCAGACATACAGGCAGAGTACATACACATATGCATATATGTGCAGATATAAATACTGAGTACATACACATATGTATATATGTACAGACATACATGCACAGACACACAGGCAGAGTACATACACATATGCATGTATGTGCAGATAGATCCACTTGCACACACCCATATATACCTGCACTCATGTGCATATACAGATGCACCCACAGCACACCCGTGAATACTTGCACACAGAGGCATACATGCACACACATGTATATATGTGCACACACGTATGGATGCACACATGCACATACATCCAAAGACACACATATGTGTGCACACGTCCATGCACACCTGCTCGTACACAGGCACAGAGGCACACCACAAATAAGCAAAACTATAAAGAGGCAAATGTCACACACCTAAATGCTCATGGTATTTAAGATGGCATGATGAGTCCATGTCCCTTCCTCTGCAAACATTCCACTAAGAGAATATGAGGCTGCCTAGTGATTCCTGCTGTCAGGGACCCACAGGTATATATGTCCCTCTGGCAAAAGGAACAGACCAGATGTGGGCTAACAGACCCCACTGGTGGGCAGGAGAAGGCCATCTGCCCCAGTCCACCAGCAGGCCTTGCAGAATGACCTTCCAGAGCCTGAGAGCAGGAATAGGGATGGCCAGAGACTCACCACCAAGTCGTCACAGGAGCGAGGGCAAGGCGGGCCACAGAGGCTGTACTCGGTCCCTTGGACAGCAGTGCAGTCAGCCACTGGAGAAACAGATTGGCTGTGGGCATGACTCCTTCCTGTCTTCCCCCCACACCCTCTCCCAGCCACGGGTACCTTCACAAAGCTGGTCCTGGCAGGCCTCTGCCTGGGCCCCAGGACCTTCGCAGTAGTCCCCCAGACCCTGCGGCAGGGGGTTGTCGCATGCACGGGTTCGAACCCGCAAGCCTACACCACAGCTCCGGCTACAGTGAGACCAGGGACCCCAGGGACCCCAGCCCCCAGCTCCTGAAAACACAGAAGGCACAGTGATTGTTGCTGGGGGTGTGCAGGGACTGTTGGGAGGTGCAGAGGTGAGGACTGCTGGCGGGTGCAGGGACAGGGGCAGGGACTGCTAGGGGGGTGCAGGATGAGTTTATAAACTGCTGGGGGTACAGAGATGGGGCAGGACTGCTGAGGGGCTGCAGGGACGGAAGTGAAAAAACTGCTGGAGGGTGCAGAGATGGGCATGGAGACTGTGTAGGGGGTGCAGGAAGGTTGGCGAGAAACAAGGGTGGGTGGGACATAGGAGTTCCAAGGGGTTTGCTGTCAGCAAGAGAGGCAGGCTTGTAGCCAGGTGCTCACTCACTGTCGCAGTCTGGCTGGTCACAGGGCTTCTCTTCGGCCTCTGGACCCCTGCAGGGTGACGTGGATGGCCTTGGAACCAGGGACTGCAAGGCGCTGGGGACTCCAGGGCAGAAGCGGTGGCGGTGGCGCCAAGCCGGGCCACAGGAAGCCGAGCACTCGCTCCAGGGGGTCCAGGGTGACCATGAGGGCAGGGCTGTGCGCATGCAAGAGGCAGCATGACAGGCCAATGGACAGATGGAAATATGGAAAAACAAACAGCACTCCACACCCCCTCTGCCCTCCTAGGCTTCCTCCTGACTCCTATGGAAGGAGAGGAGAGGGCTGCAGTCCTGGTGAGCCCTGCTCCTCACCTTCTGCACAGGGCCGCGATTTACAGCTGGTGACCAGTCCTGAGAGGCAGGTGCTGGAAGATGAACCAGGTGGTTGAGGAGGGGAGAGTGATGGGCAGTGTCCAGGACAGGTGGATGCAGTGCCCCAGGTGGTGGTTCAGGAGGGGCAGGAAGACTCAGTGCCTTGTGCTCAGCAAGTGGTAACCGATCAGCAATGCTGGGGTTGGTAAGCCAAGCTTCAGGAGTATCTCACCAGTTCTCACAGCGTCGGAGCACGGTACTCCCTGGGGCATGCAGGCGCCCCTCGTGCACACAGGGGCAGTCATGAGTGGGCACGCACACATTGTTCTACAGCAAGAGACCCCATCACTGTAGCCAGTGTGGCCTGTATCCCCTCCTCCCAGGCCTGTCCTCCCAGCCTTCCACAAAAGTGCTGCACACCAGACAAACATCGGAGGTCAGCTATGGCCAATGTTACACATCGTTTCGGTGTTACATGGGAGAAGGATGGGAAATCTCCCAAGCAATTAACTGCCTGTGAAAACCCATTGGAGGGTTAGCTATGGGTCGATTCTGAACTCGAAGGTACACAACACAACATTACTACATGTACTACAATATTATATTGTGCACAGTCACGCTTTATATGAACATAAAAACAGAGGCCATGTGCCCTGCACAAGTGAGTGTCCCTGCTACTCCCACACCAGCAATGAGGTGGCCCAGCACTGCCAGCAAAGGGCACCAGCCCTTGAGGCAGCCTACGCAGGCATTCCCACCACCCCCTCCTGCCCTTACCAATGTGGGGGGCATGCTTCTCTCAGTGTTTGAACTGGCTTTCTCACAGAGCAGCCTGTGTCCCCACTGGGAAGCTCCCCCAATGCAGTGCACAGAGCACCACTCACATGCACGGCTCGAGCAGGCAGCCCTTTACAACTACCTTCCTCAACTCTGCCTCTAGCTCTAAGCCCTGGCCAGGACTCCAGGAGTTCCGAGGTAGCTAGTTTGAGAACACTCACCAGCAGGAGTGTCCCAGGTGGGCAGTAGCAGCCAGGTTGACAAAGCCTGTTAGCCGCTTTAGGGGCACCCAACTCTGCACAGGAGGCAGGGCCTGGGGCACAGTCCATCCACTGCTGATCTCCATAACACACTCCAGGCACTGGTCCTGGAGATCAGAAATGATCAGTCTAGGAGCCCTCTCTCCACTCTGGAGAGAGCTAGGGGAAGAAGAGTGCCGAGGGGTGATGAGGGCCCTGGGAAGGGCAGGGGTGCTGATAGCAGAGGTTGTTAAGACAGCCTCACCTGAACAGGGCTGCAGGCCACAGGTAGAGAAGTCCAGAGGGCTGTGGGGGCCACTGCCCTGAGTGCGATTCCTGTAGCCACCACCACATGGCACAGAGCATGGTGACCAAGGACCCCACTCCTGGCCTGGGCCTGAAAATGGGCTCAGGTCACTGCAGGCCAGGAGCCTCATCCCTTCTGCCCTCAGAGTTCACACTCTCAGGTACCTCACACCCCCAGATATCTCACTCTCCAGGTACTTCACACTCACCCATGTATTTCACACCCTCACCCAGGTACCTCCCACCCTCAGGTACTCATACCACTCATTTACCTCACATTAACCCACATATGTCACACCCACCAGGTTCTTGACACCCACTAGATACTTCACACCCACCAGGTACCTCACACCACCCCCTCCAGGCACTTTACACCCACCCACATACCTCATACCACCAGGTATCTCATACCCACCCAGGTACTTCCCACCCTCAGGTTTCTCATACCCATGTACATTGACCTACATACTTCACACCCACCAGGTACCTCACATCACCACCTCCAGGTTCTTAACACCCAGTACCTCACACACCCAGGTACACCTCACACCTGCCAGGAACCTCATACTACCCCCTCCAGAGACTTCACACCCAAGCAGGGCTGCCCAGCCTTCTGTGCTGGATGCTGGGGAGGGGCTCTAGGGATGATCCCTCAAGGCTCTTGTGGGACCAAGTCTCAAGGAGTTTCAGGGATGGGGGTGCTTGGGGAGGAGGGCTGGACTGTCCTTGCTTCTCTTTGGAAGGTCTTTAAGACAAACTCAGGACATGGGCAGCTCTCACCCCAACAGGGCTGCAGGCTGCAGAACTCAGTCTCCATGCTGGGGCCATGGCATTCAGCCCCTCCAAAGGCAGCTGGAGGAGCAGTGTCTGCCCTGAAGCGCCACCGAATGCCCACGTCACAGCTTCGGCTGCAAGCAGTCCAGAAGGTCCAGGGACTCCAGCTGCAAGTTACTGCCAAGGCCAGAAGGCATGTGTGTTATCTGGCCAGGTTGTCCATCCCCCAGACTCTAACTCAAAGCCTGCTGGGACCCACTCCCACAGGCACACCCAACACAGGCCAGGATTTTCTCTCACAAGGATGTCCTGAGGACCTCCACTAGTTCCCAGCCCCAGCAGGTACCTGGGCAGGGCTGAGAGGTGCATTTCATCTCCCCAGAGACACAGGTGCTGTGGAGAGAATCCCTATGAGCCCTGGCAAGCTTGGCACAGACAATCTGCTCCTGGGGACCCAGCCTTCTCAGTGCCAGAAGCTGAGGGAACTGCATGATGACATGACAGTTCCATTGGTCCTTCTCCAGATACCATCCCTTAGCTGATTTTGCTGTATTTGGGGTTATCGGACCTGATTTGGGCATATTGTTGAGGGCCTCCTAGGAGAGGTGTAGGCAGAGTAAACACTACAAAGCATTGTTCCCAGTTCCCTCTATTAACACTTCTGAGCCTGTCAAATGCATGGGTACCACTGTCTAAAAAAGAAAGTCAGAGAGGGACCAGGAAAGGGGGGAGGGAAGAGGAAGGGGGAAGAGAGGAGAAGAGGGGAGAGAGGAAAAAGGGGGGAGGGAAAATAAAGGGGAGGGAGGGGAAAGGGGGAGAGAAGAGGAAAGGGAAGAGAGGAAGAAGGAGGGGGAGGGAGAGGGAAG